ACTATAATGCTAATGATTTTTTAAAGCTATACAATATTTTTCCTTAGTGATTCAATGTTAGTTTTAAGGTGAGCTTTACAAGCCCAATACAAATTAAATGAAGTATTCGAGTAATAATGATGATAATTGTTATTGAGTTTAATCTATATAATGTAATAAGTTTTGAAACAGCTTTTAAATTAAATGACAACAGTATATAACATAACAATTAAATGACATCGTTTATAGTTTTAGGCTTTAACACGTTTAGGTGAAAAATGACTAAACAAGTGGTACATCTAGTCTGTCAATAAACAAAGCACTTTCTAAAGATTGTGCGACAATAACATGAAATTTATATCCTTTTGATTTGAGAAATTATCTACGACCCAACTGCGGTGTTGACAGTTTTTCTGCAATCTGTTTGGTATCAGGCATTTCAAAATGTATTGCTTTAAACAACTTAATTATTGAAAATTTTATTTAACAAATTATGTTGTTTCAATATACTGTTTTTAAACACCAATTATTCACATCCATGGGTAAGACCTTCATGTTTGTTAATAGCAATCTTGTAAGGAATAAAAAGTTAGTTTTATGTCTCCTATACCTGTAACGAAAACGTAACCCCGAAATATGCAATTTTAGAAAATAATGTATTTATAAATTGTTATTATTGTAATTTTAAGTTGAACACTAAAATACCTAAATAACCAGATTAATTTGCTAAGAAAGTAGGCTACAATGAAGTATTGACATTTCAGCATTATGATATAGTTGTAAAGTTGTGCAAGTACAGCAGAGTTTAACACCACACAGCTGTGCCTGCCTACACCTGGATAAACAAATGACGTGTACAATGTACACTAACATGGGTACAACTAACTATATGTACAACTAACGAGAATGTGGTGTTAGATATGTAGGCCGTATAAAAATACTGTTAAACCTAACCTACCAAGCTAGCGATCCTGTCCTGTATTGGGATACCCCCGCTGCAGCAAAACAGATTGTTAGTTTGGTTGTGAGTAGGAATTTGTACAGTAACACCTTCTTTAAAAAAAAATTATTTCTTAAATCATATTAAGTTATTTGATGCGTTTGATGCAATAATAGAGACGAATTATTATTTTAAACTTAAATTTAACGATCAGGTGAACTGTAAAAATTAGTTATAATAAAGTAGGTTAACTCATTGTATCCAGTTAAAAACTAAATTGTGTTTTTCATACAGCTCTCTTCCCCCCTTATTCCCCTACTTAATGGATAACGTAATCACTAAACATTATGCTTTGTATTAAAACAATTTCAGAGTACGATTGAAAAAAAAAACACATTTGGTAAATGCTCTTCTACGTATTTTGCGTCAATTAAATTTTAAATGTTTGGTTATACTGAAAGTTTAATTACAGCTATTCAATCTTCACCCAAATAACATACTTCATATGGTAATGTGTCTACGAATGAACTATAAGCTGAGTAATTCTACTGCATTACATGTGATTTTAAAATGACGGGGGATTCTTGTGCAAACTGGGCATTTTAATAGGGTGAAAAACTTGTTTCAAATATACAATAGTATTTACCTTGTCAAGATTATGTTTGTTTGGAACAGTTATTAGGTGACTACTACTACTACTACTACTATTAGGTTATACTACTAATATACAATACATTTGTTTATTTTCGATCTGCACTTTAAAGTACCTTACCTACCCCCATCAGATCACAGTTGGAAATAAGTAGACTAGTTAAAATGCATTTTCAATTTTCATTAACTGTTTTGTCACTTGTTTACAATCTTCCTGCCGTTAAACATTCCACTGAAGGAATCGCTGTTAAATTATAATTTACATTTAAACAATTGTAGAGAAAGTTGGTCAGCATAAATGGATCTTTTAAAATGGACTCTAGAAATAAATTAAACGTGAGGGATTTGAAGCCCTAAAGAAAATTACCTTTTTAATTACATTCGCAGGTGCGCTAGATAATAAGCTTTAAAATGACACATCAATCGTAAAAATCGGTTTAGTAGGATGGCTGAAAAAGGGATGTATCATAGAAACCCCTTATTGTATTACGTACATAGAATACGATAATTTGTAGGCTAATTAACAAGTTCAAGAGTGTATTAGTATTTACAACATATAATAAGGAAATTACTCATGCAACAATACTTTCGTTTGAAATTTAAAATACCCCCGCCGCAGCAAACCTGCCGACTAAGCGAATTTCTATTTGTCTGAATTGATTTTCAGTTAAATATATTTTAATAACATTAGGTTTAACGAGTACCTAGGTTTGCTGCTACAAGGAAACTAATAAAGTGTGTTTTTGAGTAAAATATTGATAGCTTAGTACAAAATAAATAAATTTGCCAAGTTTGATCAAAATATATCCATAAACAAGCAAACTACAACATTTGACAATATTCTCCATAAGAATAGCATGGGAATTTTAAATTTAATTTTTTTTTTAATTTTCTCCGTTACTAACAATCGAACAAAAATACTTTTATATACAAAATTATTTGTTTTTTTTAAGCTCTTTAAAAAGGTCTAAAGAGAAATCGGGAAATTTTGTGTTTTGAGGGTCAAAAGTGAGAAAAACCAATTTTTACCCCATAAAACCCCCCGTAAAGCCCCGTTCCCGTGGTCCGATCGTAAATTTTTACTTAAAAAATTAAGACGATTTAGATATGACTTTTTCGTCATTACTACTTTTAGTTATTAATGATGTCCTCCTGCTACATACGTTTTTATGATACAAAAAAAATAATGCTAGATTACAATGGTTGTTTTTGTCACCTTACACTCAATATATAAATCAAGCAGAACTGCTACGCCACTTAAATTCACACAATAATAAAAGTATACGAGTAAATAACAACAAACAAAACAAATGAAAGGGACAATCAATCAAGTAGACCTGTGCGTGAACTCCATTAGCTAAAGTTTAATTTTTAAAGCAATCAGCATCAATCAGCTAAGCCGGGCATTCATCAGTGTAGCCGCCAGCTGATTATCAGAATGCTGATTGGGAATCAGACTGGCCACTGTTAAATTACATGCAGGTCAGAACTGTATGAATAATTGACTGTATCTGTTACCTTGTTTATTCATGATTTAAAAAAGAACAATAGATAATGCAATAATGGACAATAATGCAAAAATGCAATAATGGATGTTTTTAAAAGGTTAAATCAGAAGTACTAATTTATAAATATACTAAGGTGGGCCCGTGCGCAAATAGCGCTTCTTAACGTTGCTCAAAAGTGTACGAGATTAATGCAATAGCCACTTAACCTCAATTGAAAAATTAACATAAAGACATCATCATATAAAAATAGAATAGTTGATTAAGACAATTATTACATTACTACTATTGATCAAAACATTAAGGATGTAGATTGTAGATCTATATAATAAAGAGTGATTTAATCATTTAGTGAATCAAGCTAAAATTATCGATAGAAGTTGCATATTTAAAATTAACTTTCATTATCAGATTCGTATTTTATTTATAAACTGACTTTGAAAAAATAAACTGAAGGTAACACGCTGTTAGACTACAATTCCATCATTAGTTATTTGGTGATACTTATTGGACCCTTGAAAGCTCCATCTAAAATAAATCAAAGGCTAGGAGGGGCAAAGCCCAGAGGAAATGATCTATTTAATTACAATTCGTATCTGCTCTAGATCACAAGCATTAAAATGACATCTTTATAGAAACAATCAGATAAGTAGGACAGATGAAAAGGGGTGTTAAAAATAATGATAAAGAAATGTTATAGAGAAAACAATAATTGCATTAGGTATATAGAAGAAAGTATTGATAGAAAAATAATCTTGGATCGGATGAAAACATTTCAAGGTGTGTTTATTGTTTATGTCAAACACCGTTTGCGTTGAGTTGGTTAAAGTAATTTCTTGTTTTTTGAATGCCTTTAAGATGCTTTTTTCGAGTAAGTGGAACGATATTTCTGTACTGCGTGTGCTATATATGGCACTACAATAAAAGAGTGAATAATTTTGCAGTTCATTCTAAAACATATAACAATTTAGTTGCCAAAAAACATACATTCATGCACGCGCCAGGATTCGCAATAGTTCACTGAATATCAAAAATCAATCAATAGTTCAATTCAAACTTAATCATATTTTAACCTATGTTTTTAATCACCTTCATCTACTGTGATTCTGGTACTGTATGTTTGAAATTATAATTTAATACGTTTAAACATTTTACGTTCAAACGTTTAATTTTTGTGACGTATCGTAGTGAGAACATGATTGCCAAAACAATAACATTAATATTGTCACAATGAAGAATTTTCAGATTTGCATAACCATGAGTGTAAATAATATAGTTTTATTATAATGAATAAGCAGTTTAGTTCACCTTACAAATATAATCTACCTAGCCTGATCGATTTAAAATAATTGCATTCTTAATTTTATCAGTGAGTTTATCTTGTATACAAGTTACTTATAATTGAATAGCTAAAATTATGTAGATATAGTAACACAGTGATGGGATTTCCATAGACAAATCGAGCAATCACACAAGCAACCTTCAATCCATCAATTCAGGCATTGTTTGTTTACATTGTGTTAGCATGCGTCTTCCACACACACGACTCGCAGACAAAGGTGCTAAACCTCCAGTAATATCTACGATTGCTTGGAGTTTTAAATTAATTTTGAACTGACAACAAACTGTGAAATGAATTAAACATAAAACCAATTCGTTGCTGGATGCACTAACAATTTTTATGCATACCCACAATTACTTAACTGCAAAATGAATATTGTTTAAGATCTCCCAGAATCATACCACAACTTGAATATGTTGGTTTTAGACAGTATTCAATCCAATCAAACATTATAAATGGTTTCGCACACACACTATCTTCGACTTACACAAACAAATTTTTAAACAAAAACTCAAAGAAATATTTTTTAATCCTAAAGACACAAGGAGAAACGTTATCAAGGAAAATGTCGAAAAGCACTCACTTGTTTTGTCTTCTGCAACAGCCGGTTGGGCGAGTGATAAACAGAAGATTGCGAGAGGCAAGAACCAAATCCCGCGAACCGTCATGGCGGAGCACAGAACACCGACTGTAGTGCCTAGGTTAGGACAAGTTGTTAGACCCCGCCTCAGCTAGGCTACATATGTGCCGCGGGCTTAACTGATAACACCACTCGAGAGTAAGGCAAAAAATTGAAGATTAATTTACTAAATTGGATAATTGTTAGGGATAATCATGAGATTTCCGGAAACCCGACGTTTCGAGAAATTTAAAATTCGCCTCGTCATCAGGCTCATTTACATGGGAGATCTGAAGCAACATCCAAGCCTCAGAGTAATAAAAATAATATACTTATAATTTTTGTTAGTTGATCAAGAGGCTCTTTTAACCTTGCATTTCCCCGTCCACATAGACCAAGTGTGTGGGACGTACTGAGTTAATTTTAAATTATATTAGACTGTCTAAGCTGTAAGGTTTAGTATGGTTAAAATATTTAATTGGGTGAACGAAGTTTAATATAAGGGGCAACTTAATCGTTTGAGTACAATCTTGAAGTGTACATACAAAATTATAAAGAAAGTTAACATTTAAAATTTTTTGTGCAATTGTTTAAAAAAGTAAACAAACTTGGGGCCAGGAGACGAAATGAAACTTACACTTTAAGCTCACGCTCACTTATTAATTTTTCTAATTAAATTTCAACTCCAAGTTTAGTGACATTTTGGGAGGTACGAACTCATATTGTCATCTAACGAACGTATGTTTTGCAAACGGACAGCAACTCGAAGATGGCATTACCATTGGGATAGCGTACCGCTGTGCTCGCTTGTGGAAGGCCAGGAATGATGCTGTGTCCTTGAACTGGGTCCAGGACCTGTAGGTTGAGAAGGTGTTGCGGCATTACGGCATTAGTGAACTTTCAATATTACCTGGAGCTTGTCTCAGAGTTAATGGCGTTCCTCCTCAATGCAGTGCATACCTGTTGATAATCATAATCATCTTTACTATAACACCTTCAGATTCACTTTAATATTCGCAATTTTATATAGTGACTTATAACTATTTATTTACCATTTTGAAAATATGTTTTCAAAACTCAAGAACTTATTTGTAAACGGTTTGTCTTCTATCGTTGACGCCAAATAGCAAACGGTGTACAAACTACACTAAAATACATGTAAGGGAACCATATAGTCAACATATGGCTCTCTAGGCTTCCTGGACCCTAAACATATGGAAACATCGAAACATGTATCAAATGTTACCATCTTTTTAGTCGAGAAATGTACTTGCCTTATCGAACGTCAAAGCAAATATCTCGCAGAAATCGTGCCTTGAGTTTTGTTTGGACAGAAACGGTTGGCAATCTCCCAGAAAACAGTTGTTGGATTTGTCCAGAGCACACTGTAACAGGTTCCTGTTCCTGGGCCTGTTTGGATGGAAACCTGCATTTCGATAACTAAATGATACAAGAGTTAGATGTCTCTCACTAGTCTATCTTTCAAGAATATAAGATGAAATAAATATGTGGAACGTTGTGAGGCCCAGAGTATAATGTGAAGGCGCGTCGAATCGACAATTTGCGTCATCTTCGTTCAGTAAAGCGTGACTAGGCAGATTGTTGGAGGCATCTGTTGGGTTCTGGCATTTACGCACTTATATATCATAAAAAGAGGTTTTGGCAATATAAATAATGCGAGAAAACATGTTATTTTGATGAAGCAAATAATGCTTTTATACAAAAAAAGTCTCAATGTGTTGGTTTGTTAGAATTTTTAATACATCTGATATGGAGATTACACTCAAAGGCACTTGAAGGTTTTTCGGCTATCCACTGATCAATTTTCATTTTTCATATCCCCATTATCTGCAATTCATATTACGTTATAAAGCTTTAAATTGATTAAACGATCCTACTCACTCCTCTATTTTCTCCTCTATCTGACACTCTTATTCTCCCTTATTTAATCAAAGATAAACTATAAGGGAGGACTTATGGGGGAGGGGGTTGTAAACCCTTAAACTAACGATATAATTAATTATGAACAACTGAAGTCCAGAGGTATGATGTTTATGGTGCGCAGGATCCAGAGTGAAATATGTTAATGTGAATGTACTTAGGCGATCCCGTTCACCGAGTTAATCAGAAAAATATTTTTTTATGTCCAAAAATACAGATATCTACATGACAAACGTCACTTAAACCAGAAGTAAGATAAAGACCCTTTGCCAACAAATGCGAACATTGGAGATCCAACAATATTTATACTGACTGAAGCGAATCCATCAGGAAAAAAAACTTTTATGAATCAGTCACACAGAAATACACAGACAAAGTCGGTATAAACTTAAGCTTTTGTATAAATTAAGGCGTTAAAAAGTGTGTGATACTAAAATACAATTCGAAACTCTAGTTTCTAAATTGCAACATTAAAATTCATGACACCTGAAACATGATTTCTTCCCATGTTACAAGTCCTCAATCTCCTCAACAAAACATTTACATATCTATAACAATGCTGTAAATCAAAAGCAGTAAATGTTATCTCTGAATCACTCAAGTGTTAAATAATTAATAATGTCCATTCCAATAACTTATCACAGCAAGCTCGTGCGATAAGGGGCTGTTGATAAGAGGGTGGATTACTCTGGGCGACGTGGATGAAGAGGATACGTCCACGAATTTAGGTCGGGGATAATTGACAGAGGTTAATGAGAATTTAATGATTTACTCTTATCTCGCTTTCTTTCAAGCGAGTAAATATCTCCCTAAGAAGACTCTCATTAAACGTAATGCAACTTTGGTAACAAAGGGAAAGTGCTAGGGTAGATTCTCGGTTTAGGAAAGGCTTTGGACTATTGAACTGGGTTTTCACACTGTTGGAACTAGGGTCAACTATTTTACTATTAATTTAGGTGTTCCCATCTTATTTATGTTTTTTTTCTTCTTCTAATGAACCAAAATAATTTAACACTCACAGTTTTTGAACTGAAGTACGAAACTGAAAAAAAGTTATCAGTTATAATATACGTATTGGGAATTAATGAGCTTAAAAAGCCCAAAAATGAAGGAAAGTTGCATAAAAACTTGAAAAAATTATTAATTTGAAACAGTGTAAAACATAGTATGTTTTTGATAATTTTTTACTAATTCGAAAAGGTTTGAATAGTCGTCAAAAATCAAAATAATTTATTTACAAACCAAACGAAGAAGGGTCAACGTACATACAAGTACTTAACAAAAACAATATTTTTTGTTTAATGGTATATTCAATATCAAATAATCCAAAGATATTCATACAGATCTTTTCACAAACTGTTGTGAAGTTACATTGAATCACACGTTTTCGTTTCCGAAGTTCCTCATAGCATCTTGGTATACCAATCGCTCCGCGAGAAAGACAATATTGAAAGCCTCCACAAAAGGCATTGATCATTATTATACCAAGTGATTGGGCAGAACAGAGCGTGCGTAGCCATCAAGACAAGTGGGTTAATGGTATTCTTTCTAGCCCTGGTTGGCAGAACTGCTTCTCAAATCTGCGGATAGGTGTCAAGAGAGACCCATGTAGGCCGCTGCGTAGCGTGATTCGCAACTGGTGATTTGCAAATATCAACTTTGAATAGTACGCAGAAGATTATCAATACCAATCTGTAAACAGTTGATTTTGGTGATGGTAAGTTTATATGTCGTTTGATGGATTGTTGTGGACGTTTCAAATTAGGATTGGTTAAATAAGGTTTTCAAGGCGTTTCAGGATTTAGAATCTGGTCCCGTCTTCAAGTAAGAAGTATTCCAAAACATTACAAGTAGTCCAAAGCCTCAAATAAAGCTGGAAAACGACAAAAAAAAAAAAAAAAACTGTCATAAAGAGCCATCAAAAGAAGAAAAAATCGATCATAAAAACAAAACAATTGCTCTAGACCCTGGAACGTCGTAAGGACATATTTTAAATAATTGTGATGGAAAATGTCAGCAAAGATCCGTAAAAATTGTAATTCCTCTCATACAATATGATGGATAAAGTCATTTTCGTAACAGATATTTATATGTAAAAATGGTTATAAATTCTTTCCATTTATTAAATGCATTCTTTCTATTTATTTACGCGTGAGTTTTTTTACTCAGCTCAGTATTCTGCAGGAGCTTAACTATTTCCAGCCGTACCCCATTTTTGACTCTCAACACAAAATTTCAAAATTTATTTCTTAACAGTTTTGTATAGCCCAATAAAGAGTTGTTGTACGCTAAAATGGTTAGAGAGAAAGTTTAAACAATCTTTAAATGTAAACTTTCCATGTTATTCTTATAAAAGAGTAAACTGTTGTAGTTGATTCGTTTATGGATATATTTTGATTAAATTTGGAATTGCTCTCCACTTCATACTCATTTTATTGGTATTTCAACAAGAACTCACTTTATTACCTTCCCCAAAGCAACAAATCTTATTACTCATAAAACCTATGTTTTTAAAAAGAGAATAAATGTAATATATTTCAGGAAGTATTCAATAAAATTAGCAACTAGAAATTCACTTAGTCTGCAGGTTTGCTGTGGCAGGGATATTAATCTATTTATGTTTAACAATTCTAGTCGATCTCCACGCTTTTCACTGTGGCAAGGATTAAAAGATAGTCCATTTAAAGAACTCTGCTATTATGATATTGTGTCTGATAGTTATTGTAGCAAAAATAACTTTGTATCGCTTAAAGTGAATGATATGTTGATAACTTGTCCATATACAATTTTTACTTTTTAAAAGCCTCAATAATTTGTAATCGTATAATCAATCAATATTAGTACATTTAAATTAGTATGTAAACATTGTAAATGCTTCTGTGATTGGAAAACATTTTCCTAGTAAACATATTATCATTAAATTCTTCCGAGACAAAGTCTTCACTGAAATCCTCGCAATAGTTTTAACCTACTCATCTATGAGCAGAAAATAATTAATGTTTTAGATTTAATATAAATCGATCCAGTACCACCTGAAAAAACAAATGGAGTTTACAAAGCTATTTTTTTAAATTACTAGCTTCTGTACCCGTGCTTCGCTACGGGAAGAAAAATCTGTTTCATAATCATTGAAAT